GAGATCAGAAGAAAGTGCATGTTCTCCTCAAAAAGAGCAAAACAACAAAATCTGTTCTTGCATTTTTGTCTAAAATAATATATAATTGTCTAATAATGACACAAGAAAAGTGCAGCTACCTTTTCTGTGTGGATTTTTGGGCTAAAATACTGGCTGTGTCAAAGTTAGTTGAGCTTCAGTCATTAGTTTGTGTAGGACAAATTTTCCAGCCATTTGAAAGTAGTATTTTGTCTCTATCCATCTTTCTATGGAGGCTTACTTGAAATACAGCACAAACTGAATTGTCCAAAGACAGGCATTCTAATTTTAAGAGTTCTCATTTTAAAGCTTTGTCTGGTTTCGATTGGGTCTTCTGCTTCCTTTTCTCTTACTGCTCAGGCAGTTAATTACATCTCAGAACACCCCAGGGAGGGAGGTGTTCCCGTTTCATTCTACTGGTGAGGAAGCCATACCACAAAATACTGAACAATTGTCCAAGGTAACTGAGAAAACAAGGAGTAGAGCTATTAATCCAAATTCCTGTGCAGTGTGGTCTCTCCACATGTATGCCACAGAAGAGATTTTTTTTTTTTTCTCACAGGAAATAAAACTACTTTACTGTGAATCAAAATCAACTTCTGTTTCTAAAACACCAAAAGGTAAATGAAAAATAAAATTGATCCACTACACTACTTGTAGTTATATACATCTTAACTGTCTAATCAGAATGGCTCTTTCTAATATTTTCCTGGCCACCTGTCCAAAATAATTGACCAGAAATTGATAAAACTGTGCTCAGTAATGGTGAACAATATTCAGATGCTAAATAAGGTACTGGGAAGAAAAAGTGATCAGGTCCTGATTAGTTTCAGGACTAAGCAATGACTGTAAATAAAAAATAATTAGGAAATAATATATCCCTATGTAAAACGTATGACATTAATATATATTTTTCTTTTTAATTCAACCATTATTTTGATCTGCCCTTTAAATATTACGTTTTTTCCTTCTTTTCATATTTGAGTTTTATTCAATTCTGAAAAATTCCATTATAAGGTTGCAGAATGCTAAATGAAGAGTTAAAAAAAGTGTCTGATTATGTGATTTTCTTGAATAATTACTTAAAGACATTTAGCATGTGATGATAGCCACATGGACAGACCACTAAATTTTTCTGTGCTTCCAATAATGCATAGGTAAAACAGTAAGACAGAAACAATATGTACCCTTTATATTTCATTCATTCATAGGTACCCATCTCTTTGCTATAAATGTTACTGTTTTGATCCCATATTCAAAGAAATTTCTCAGGTTAAAAATTATATTACCTTTTTACATTCTGACTCTCCAGTAAGAAAAGAGGGAAAAAACCCTTAAAATTCTGTATTTAAACAGATCAGAGCTATGAAGTCTCCTAGCAGTTGATCAAAAAATAATCTTTAAAGACAGCCTCAAGTACTGTATCAGTTATGTGTGTAATAAATACTGGAATCATTTCTGTAACTCAATGAACACATTAAAGTAAATAAGAGTCCATCTGAATCATAAAAAGCTGTGCAAAAACACTAACATGCAAATTCAATCAGTCATAAACCAAGGGTGCTGATCACCTGTGATAATAAGAATTAATTTTATATCCTAAAGGTGAGCTTCAAATGCCAATTCACAGGAGCATATAACAGATTGAAAGACATGTGCAGTGTAATTAAAAGGGCTGTGCCCATGTCTTCACATTTCTTATCAAAGTAGCTGTGACACTGTCATACCCAAAGCAATCCTTTAATCCAAGCACACTCAGATTCCTCACCTATAAACTCTCTTAAGTTAACATCATGATGAAATAACTCCTACTTTTAGTTTCTGAAAGCAAAACATAAAATATTTCTCTTCAATTAAGAATGGCAAAGTTGCCAATAGCACCAAATTCCTGAAAAAACGGAACCCTCTTCCCTCAGTTATTAAGCTGCTTCTGTGGATTTCTTTCTAACCATAGTCTTTGACACCTGATAGCACTGGAGACAGTCAGAAGTGAAAAGGACAGAGAATGAGTGTGATCTGCTAGAGCAGAAAGAGTGGATGGAAGTCTGGAGGTCATTGAGGGAAGGGGAAGGTCAGACTCCACAGGGTTTCTCTTCACAGGAATGAGAAAAAAGGAAAAGAAGTCAGCATTAGACCACAACAACCACCCTGCACCTTTCTTCAGCTCTTGGCCAGTCTCTGCAGTTCTCCCAATTACCATTCTCTCTCCAAACCTACATCTGTTGCCTGCTCTTCACCTGAAATGCCTCTCAGTTTCCATTTCATTAACATGTCATTTTCTTAAGATGAAATATGTCCAGGCTCTCCTTCCCCTTTTGGCACAGTTTTTCTCTGAAAGACAAGGCTCACTCACTGTTCTCCTGTTCTCACAGTGAAACTTAGCCTGGTAATCAAACTTTTGACCCCTCTGCTACCCAACGTGCTACCTAAATCTCTGTGTGACTGCTGAGGTAGTCTATAGGACTCCAGCTTTTTAAGATTGTTCCCAAAGACAGAGATTTCCATTCTCAGGAGCTCCCTTTCTTGCCTTGGTGCTGAAAGAAAAAGGTTACCTTGGAGTTCTGGGAGGAAGACATGAAAGAGCAGCTTCCATGTCAAGGAACCTTTAATTACTAGCATGCAGGCATATTATTGTTCATTAAAAACCCCTCTAGGAAAAAAAACACTAGCAATCTGATTTATTTTTTGGTGTGGCTGCATCTAGTAATATACTGGCACATTGTGGTTCAGAGTCTCTTCTCTCCTCTATCCTCTTGCTGCTCTCTATCCCCTTGCTTCCTCCACTATAAATATATGATCCTTTACTGCTGTATGAGTGGTAGACAACAGGGTTTTCCCACTGAAGGCAGTAGTCCCAAAACTTCTTTATATCCTAAAACTTTTGTACTCCAGTTATGCTACGGATGGATTGGCTATGGATTCACCTGTTAATACAGTAGGGTCTATCATGCAATATCCACAGGAGCTGTTAGCTGTCAACTATCACATCATATTTCAATGATGGTATTAAAGCTTGAAATCAAGCAAATAGGTCCATCATGTTACTGAAATAACCAGCGTAAGAGGCTTGTACCACAAATTATTGATTCAGTTTTTGTTCCATATCAGAAGCTGGTCCAGTCACAGGAGCAATTTGCTTTAAGAATAGTCAAGGAAAAGTAGTTTCCTCCAGTTGGCATTATAAAGTTATCTTTTACTATGTGAGTACTACCAAAAAGACTGTACATTTCACCTTTACATGAAGGTGCTGCAATCTGGACAATGGTGAAGGGACTAAAAAGGAATAAGAAATTGACTCGTCTTTGTGTTGTACATTTAGTGAATATTTTTACTACTTCAGTCATTTTCATTTATATAAATGAAGCTTCTTTTTTCCATATAAATCTCTCTTCTCCCCAAGGTGTGTCTGCAAATGAAGTAACACTTCAGCAAAGGGTAATTGAAGCTGGAAAAATTTTACAGCAAAATGCCATTTTTAAAGGGTGTAATGATACATGCTGCAGAAGCAGGATTTTTAAATTCACTATACAGAAACTTATTCCCTGTAGGAATGAGAGACCTGAGGATTTAGAACTATATCATATTGGCTACCACTTCTTCAACCCTCTAGACAGTAGCTTTCCACAGTAAACTTTGGTTTTGTGTGACCATAAAACCCCTCATATTCAAAAAAAGAACATTCTGAAGAATTCAAAGAGAAAGAAAATAAGTGGAGTGCACAAAAAAATCACAGTAGGAGTGTTTCTTGTTCCATAGAAAGATCAGCTGCTACCAAATCTTTTCCAGAGATGCCCACTCCATACATGCTAGCCTGAACTCACTTCAGCTCCACAGCTGCTATTCCCCTCATACCTCAGGGCAATGAGATAATGAAGTGTAGCTGCAAAGACATCTTGCAGAGACGAAATAGCTTTCAGAATTTTAACAGGGTTTTTATGTTTTACATTTTCGTTTCTCATAGTCACAAATTTTTGCAAAAGGAATATTTGATACCTGATTTAACCATTTAGTATTTTTTTGCCTCATGACAGCTATTTATGTTCTTAGTGGCCACGAAAGTCAGCAGTCATTAGCAAAAACAAGGTACTGGCAATGCTGCACTCTGGTGTGATATGATGCACTGTGGTTTGTGCATTTCCATTTTAATCACTCTAAGTATGGTCAGTTGAAGTCAGTGGAAGGCAAAACCAGAAATCTGATGGCCTACTGGATGATTTAGGAGATAATTCGGGTTTTGGGTTCAACTGCTTGACCGGGACTGTAGGGAGTTTACTGATTGCGCCTTTGGGAGGGTTAAATTCCAGAAATACCACATCAGGGAAGAAGAAAGATTTGTAGAAGCATTGTGAAAACTGAACTAGACTTAAAATTTTTTAGCTTATTCTTCCTGAGCATATTTGATTCACCAAATTTTAAAAAGTGTTCTAAAGATACTGCAAAGTAAAATCTTCTCTTGCTTAATGAGGTAGCTTTGCTTTTACACGTTTTTCTTCCATTTTTTTTCTTTCTTTTGGTCTTAAATGTAAGTAAAAAAACATATATTTCTTATCTTTTCATGATTCAACTCCTCATCTTGTTACCATACCAACTGCATTAAATGCTATTCAAATTTCTGCTTTAACTTAAATTATAGAAACTCAAAACATCAAATAAATTCTGAACTGGCAGACTAATGCAGTGATTTTTCCAGAGCTGACTGTACCGCCAACACAGTAGTTATTCATTCTCTGCTGAAAGTGAAGGAGTAAGGTTTTTTTTTTCTTCCTAAGATAGATAGGTTGCCTGTGTAGAGAAGTAGGTTAGTTTTCTGTAAGTTTTTTTTGTGGGAGGATAAAGAAATGGATGATAATACCATCCTCATTTTCTTTTTCTAAAGCTTTCAGCCAGAACCCTCAAGAATTTTGACAGCAATTAGCAGTGGCATCCCTTTGTTCTTTCAATTTTAGATATTTACAAAACTTGTTTTTCTTTTCTGTTTTTAGCACAAGAAGAATGGGCCACAACCCGTTCCAGCCTAAAGGCACCACCTCCAAGGTCAGCCAGAGGGGGTTACAGGGAACACCCCTATGGTAGATATTGAAGGTCCTCCTCATCTGTGACCTCATCTCAAAGACAATTAATAGCCTGTGGTCTCCACATAAACAGCAACAAGACAAGTAATAGTCCATTTCTTTTCTATCCTAGGGATTACTGCTCATTATTATCCTATGTACTACTTGTATTTCCTATAACACTGGCGTGACATTGGCATTAGTATTATTTTATAACACGGACTTAGAAAAACAGAGACAAAAAACCTTTGGCAAACACTGTCTATAAACTATTCAAAGATGATGTTCTGTTGGTTGTATTCATTCCTGTGTGTAACTAAAAAGCATGACACTGTTACAGCTTTTGAGTCTCTCTACATACTAGTTAAGGCTGAGTTTCTGTTTAGGGTTGCTGAAAGACTGTAATATGATTTTTTTTTGATTTTTTTTTTCAAGCCAGACAATAATCAAGCTGTAGATAAGATGTTTTAACCTGTCTTTTTTAATATATGTTAGTTTAGATTAAGATGCTCGATATTAAGTTTGTAAATTTAATTTTAAATGCTGTTTTAATGGGGTTGAAAACTAGCAGCTACTGTATGTATGTAGCTAACTGAAGTTGTTCAGTGTTTTAACCTGTATTTGTTAAAAAAAGTCACTTAAAGTTCCATGTGTAAGCTTCTCTAAATAGGAAACCATAATTTTGTCAAATATGTTTGCCATAATTTGTCAATAAAGCTGAAACCTTTTGTAACAAACTAAATTTGGAATTACTTGTTTTCTAGCTTTAAATGCCTGCTTTATTTCTTTTTCAAGAGATGCCTAAAATGTTTTTTATATAAAAATTACAAAAATGAACCCAAGCCTGTTTTAAGATTTTTTGTGTAAGACTTTAAAAGTTGTATTAATAACTTCTGGTTGTTAAATAATATAAAAGTTAACAAACTAAACTGTTACATGAATCATGGTTAGTATCCACTAATGTATAACATGTTAATGGAAAAAAATGCTTTAGAACAATAAATGGATTTTAAACTATCCTTTAAGCTTGATCTTGCTAAACACAAACTCTGATTGACTTGTTTGTATTAGCATGTCTCTCGTGAGAATGTAATGGAGTTTAAAGAGGTAAGATTACCACTTACCACTGTTAGACTGTCTAAATGCTAGTTCTTCAACCTTTGAGTTTCCCCGCACATTAAATATCCCATTCAACATGTAAGCATTGCATAGATTCACCTATTTGTTTTCACTCAGAAGAGTGCGTTGACTGCATTTTTCGTAGTATATAACAATTTGTCTTGATAAACAAATCATCAGTGTCACTGCCCAGCTGTTGGTACTCAACTTCAAAAACTCTATTTGTAATTTTCAGTGCTAAATATCACCGCCCTTGAAGGCAGTTTAGAGGGCTGATATTTCTTTTGAGACTATCAGACTTGATGGCTGATGATTATTAAGGAAATATGTCGCAGGACTCAAAGGATGACTAAACGTTAAACAGGTAACACTAATAGTAACTCTGTAATTTTGAGTATGCAACAGTAATGTAAAATATTCTCAGTTATTAAGTTACTGATAGTTAAAAAAGTAAACCTACCAAAAGATAACAAATAGGTATATAGGCTATTAAAACAACTAATTAACATTAACTAGTGACAACAAAATTATTCTACAATATATAACCCTCAAGGTAATAAACAGAACTAAAATTAACAATAATAGTAATGCAACTCTTGCTAACATCAAATATATAACCTAAATTTTGATGAAGAAAAAAAAAAACCAAAAAAACAGAAGACTTGATGGTAGGGATGCCAAAACTGTTAATCCTTTCAATACAGTCTTTTTGTTTACAGTGGCTTTTTGTCAATGTGATTGGTTTACTTTTTTGATGCGACTAAAGTACAGGCCGATTGCTGTTCAGTTTGTGAACAAAATCTCTTGCAGCTGGAGTTGCATGCTAGCTCTTTTTGAATAGCTTTTGATGAGTATGTTTTGTCCTTTGAAGTGTTAAAGTGAATTTAGTAGGCTACATGATGGTTACATTGAGTTTATTCTGTCTCACTATTTCAGGGACTCACAGGCACTGGACAGCTAAGCAGCAGATCTGCTGGGAAGTGGTCAGGTAAGCTCTGCTGCATCCCAAGGGGTTTTCCTATTTCCTGTTTTTTCTCTGCATTTGTTTTTACTAACACACAAAAACGTGTTCAGCTACAGTATAAAAATAAATGTCTTTCCAGCAATGTTTCTCTGCGTATCAGCATAGTGATTATGGCACAATGGAAATTAACACATTTATGTATGTGTTATGATACTCTTCATCTCAATAAAAGAAGTCTTGTCATCTGGCCTTTTAATGGTAAATATTAAGATGGCGTACTTTATAACTGTTCTTGCTAAAAACATGAGCTTTTGTTTATTAAAAGCGTGCCTACATTTTGGCTAGTCACATAGCAAAGAAAAATGCAATGCTAGCTTGTCTTTGCTTCTGGAAATGTTTAACATTTTTTGCTATGAAAAATGTATCTGTATAGAGAAAGGAAGTTTGTTATTTATTCTTATGCTTGGTAAGTTTTTCTTTTTATGCTTTAGAAAGGCAGGGACATGTAGGTATTACTGTGCAATGGCATGGATGGAGGCATTACTTATATTTCTCTGTTAAATACATTTAAACATAAAGGTGCATCTTGGATGACCTTCTTAAATAGACTTCAGGTTATATGTGAGATTTTTTGCTGAAGACAAATGTCATTTCTGGAAACAAAAAAAAAATTCATCTCAGTTACAACTTTGTCCATGTACTCAGAAGTGTGAACCCAATCACAAAAGAAAAAGTACCAATTCTTGTCATCATTCTTAAGTAGGTAAGATTACACAAACACACAGTCCTAGACACATTTATTATTCTGGCATCTTTACCCATGACTGTGGTCTGGATGATGTAACATTTTCCAGGTATGGTGGTATTCAACAATTACTTAGAAACCACAAGTTGTGTTGTATAACTAGATATAAAGTGTTTAATTTTCCTCTCCAAAGGGTTGCCTCAGGATCTTTATAAATTGGTTTTATTGATGTGTACAACCACCCTACAGACCAAAGTGATATAGTATGGCATTAAGGTTTTACAGTCACCTCAGTGTGAGTGTACCACCGTAGGAAAATCTTCCATCTACCCACCTTGCATGTAGTTACACTCATTTTCTTTGGTCAGTAAAGTTCGCCACAGAAAAGGAATTGCTATAAATAGTTCCATGCTGGTATAACTGTGATTATAGGTTATCATGTATTATACATTATACTATATAAGTAGTCCAGGAAATGCTCATATGCCTTACCAAAATGATTAATAACACAAAGCTGAGAGCAGGTCATACCTGATGTGAGATCCAGGGCAATGTAGATAAAATTAATTTCTCACCTGTGCATCACATTTTTATGTGGGGGTAACTACTGTGAACTCCTTGAAGATGGACTTCAATAAATACAGCTTTATAGCAGAGCAATGTCCTTTAATATTCTTGTCTCCAAGTCTACTTTGCCACCATTTGCCACCAATTTTTAAAAATGGCAGAAAATGTCAGTAAAATGATGCATTGTGAAATATTCTTACATAAGAATTATTTTGAAAAAGTAGGTTAAGTCAGTGCAAGCAAGCAACTGTTTATGCAAACATTTTTTCTATTGATTTTCAGGAAAATAGTATGAAAAATTACCCAAGACTGCATGTTCTGTTCAGTGCTAACTAAAATAAATATAAAACTAGTATATTTCATTACTGTTTCTGAAGAAGCCTTGCAGTTAATCAGTTATGTCTTAGGAAAAACATAATCCACTTTATTGATTTTTGAGAGAGTAACAAGAGTCTGGTTATTCTAATTAACAGCTGTCTCCAGGTCTTCCATGAAAAGCTGTGACATATTCCACACATCCACATCAGGTCAGCCACAATTCTGAGATCCTGAAAACTTGTATGCACCGCCAGAAGATATGTAATTTCACCCGTGCTCCAAGACACTTGTCACCAACCAAACATTTTATTTGGTTTAATTCACTTACCAGTTAGTTTTGTTTGTAATATGAAGAAAAAAGCAACATAAAATACCACAATAAACAAGTGAAGTCACTGGGAAAGAGAAGTCAAAAATGCAAAATTTCTGTTCAAATATTTCTCAGATATTTTTTTTGTTTTTCTGGGTTGATCTCATATGAAGAACAGTTTGATCTTTAGAAGAAAATAGTGCTATATAGATTTTAGAACTTTTTTAGTAGTTAAAACAGCAAATTATATTTTGTTTAGCAGCCTAATTCCATGTATTCAAGAGGTATTCTAACTAAAAAACATTCGGTATTTCTAGTGCAGCTACTTTCATTAGAAAATGAAGTAGCACCATGTAACTCTTTCCTATTTGGTTTATCTTACAGCATTTAAACAAAGGTCTTAAATCTTCATGTGAATAAATGAAGAAGCTCAGGAAACACAGTGTATCTGACCTCACCACAGAGGATATGGGCAATGTTTTTGTAGCTCCATGAGGTCCTCAACCTCCATGCAGAGTGGCAGAGCTACAGCCATAAAGCCAAGTATCTCCATCCCCTTACTCCAAGCCCCTTCCATAGCCCAGCCACAATTACTCCATTTTATTTAGACATGTGCTGACTTCCAAACTGCCTACCACTGATGTCAGTGATGGGGAATGAGGGCATGAGAAGCACATTTCTGTGTCTGTGGGACATTTCTGTGTCTGTGGGAGCTCTGAGGAAAGGGATGTGCAGACCTTGTGAGTGAGCTTGGCAGGGTAGAAGGGCCTGTGTCTCTCTTGCCAGGGAGCTGCCAAACCACAGCCATGACTGAGGTACCAAGCTGCATAACAGGACCTTAGTAAAGCAACCAAGTTGCAATTAGGATCAGGACAATTAACACATAGAAGTGCATCAGTTGAATGATAGTATGGATTTATGGTAGTCCTCATGAAATATCATCCAGGTTTATTATCTGAAGGTTAAAATCAAGAGCAGGTAGCCAATGTATTGCGTTCAAATAAAAACCAATTTGGTCTATATTATTGATGCATTTCCTTCATGTTTGAGGTAGGAGTGTTGTTTTGTGAACTGTCTTTCTAAGAAAACCAAAGTTTTGCAGGAATCAACTATTGCAGCTGCAAAATTATGAATGGAGGTAAAGGAGAATCATCGCATTAGCTGAACATTGGAGAGAAAAAGTCTTTGATAGTGAGTGAGAGAAGCCTGTGATTCATTCAGGAAAGGAAGTCCTAGAACATTTTCTATATTGTATTGCATTTAACATGCAAAAACAAGTCAAGACTGTATAAAGGTTAAGTAGGGACAGGGCAGGATATCAGTGTTCTTCATGCAACCTTCTTAGAGATACATCATATTCCATAAAGCTTGCTAGTAAATTTCCTTTCTTTTATGGAAAAAATACTTTGTAAAATGAAAAGACAACTGAGAAACTCTACCTAAATTTCTTAAACAGCTACATATTTTGACAGAAAATTGTTCTGTTACCTTCTGTATTTCTTTTTCTGTATTTATTTTGTGAAAGAAATACCAGATCGAAACAAGATTTTAATGTCCTTAAACAATATGTTTGCTAAAAAATTCTTAGCAAAGATGTTAAAGAAAATAGTTTTGGGTTTTTTTAATAAGTGTTTCCTGAATTCTTTTATAATTTTGTAGAACTTCAATAAATGGCTCAAGACTGCAGGATAAAGCAGTTTGGGGAAAATATTCATACAGCCAGAATCATAGAATAGGTTATAAATTATTCCTACATGACAAAGAACCAATTTATCCCTATATCCGAATCTATGGATTTTTAGGAATCAGGAGGACGGAGTTCATTTGTAGATGTGTTTTTTTCAAAGTAGGATTAAAAAAAAAAAAAAAATCATTTCACTAAGAGATTACAAAGTCTTTAGAAAAAGAAAACTCTTTACAAAAAGAAAGGCTATAACTGGAAAGGTTGGCTGTAGTTAATGTCCAAAGAATAAAGATAATATTTTTTATTATTTCA